CCAATATATTATCATTATCAAAGTCACCGATGACTATTGAAAGAGGAAAAGAATTATTACCAGTTGAATATTTCTTTGGTATAGCAAAAGTACCGTTCCCAAGACCCAAAAGAATGGCAATATTATTCGTACCAGAACAGACGACGACGATATCCATGTGATTATCAGTATTTAAGTCATTGATGGCAATTGAAGATGGATGAGAGTTAATACCAGTCTTAAAAGTGACTTGTGTAGCGAATGTACCATTCCCATAATTGAGTAAAACACCTACATTGTTGGTACCATAATTAGCAACAGCGATATCAAGTTTGCCATCATTATTGAGATCAGCTATGGCAATTGAGTATGGAATAGAATCAAAACCAGTAGAAAAAGTGATCTGATTGGCAAAATTTCCCTTTCCATCTCCTAAAAGAATACCAATATTATTCGTACCATGGTTAACTACGGCTATATCAGGTTGTGTATCATTGTTGAAATCAGCTATAATAACCCATCGTGGACGAGAAGATCCAGTTGAAAAAGTTGTTTGAGAATCAAAAGTACCATTAAGTCTTCCAAGAAAGACACCAATATTATTAGTACCAAAATTTGCTACGATTATATCCTGTCGTTGATCATTATTGATATCAGCAATAGCTACTGAGTATGGCATAGAATAATCACCAGTCGAGAATGTCATTTGATCTGCAAATGTATCATTAGCTTGCCGAAGAAATACTCCAATTTTGTTAATCCCAGAATTTGGCACGACTATATCAAGAAGACCATCGTTATTAAGATCAGCTACAGCAACCGAATACGGATGAGAATCAGCACTGATCGAACTCTTCGCTTCTGATGTTAGGATAAATGTGCACACTTTACCTAAATAACATAAGATATATAGATGATGTAAAATAAAATAAAACCCTGATAGCTGTGTATCTTTAATATGAATTGATTCATTTTCTCTTTGCATTATTCAATTTTGTTACTTGAATTTCCGTCCAGTTTTTTGGTTAACTCAGCTAATTTTTAATATGAACAGAAATCTGTTGTACGCCAGAAAAAATACGTATTTTTCTTTATGTACACTTGATTGAACATCCTACAATATTCAACTTGAAAAGAACTAGTTTTAACTGAATTTTAACTCAACCGAAAATAGAATTCTGAAATACACTTTATATCATATTTTCAATGTGTCTTTTTGATTCGACGTTGAATTTCTTCATTATTAATTATATCATATAAAAATGACAAACTTGGTGGTTTTGCTGAAGTGTAATAAACTGTTAGGATAGCATTCATCATTGATAAACTTGTGAATAAAGCAAATATAATCACTGCTTTAGTTGAAAATGACAAACATGGCAGACAAGTTGTTCTAATGATGAAAGATATAAATTATTATTGAAATAATATGAACAAGACGTACCTAGGTGTCTGAGTCAATATGAAATCATAAGTGTCAGTACGTGTTGGATCTTGTTGTGTCATAATTGCCTTTGATCTACTGTCAGAATCGATGATAACAGAAGGCCCTTCATGATTTGAGAATTCTGATGGCAAGACTTCAATATCCATTGAAGTTATTTGTTATCTACAATAGAAACAGTAAATAAAACATCTATTTATCTTTTATTGATCTCAAACGGAATTGATTTAACTTTTTCAATGATGTAATTATCAGATGGAGTGACTGAAGCTTATCAAGAATTCAAAAAATAGATGAATCTGATAATATATGGCTTTAACCGTCGAAAAATCGCTTGATCAAGATTTAAAAAGGATGTTCCATCTCAACGCGTCCACTCTATTCCATTGATCTCCCTTACTCATCTATATACAATATAAAAAATAAAGTTGTTTAAATACCTATCGAATATTACATACAATATTTAAATGTCGATATTTGATTTTCGTTACTAACTGAATACGTTGTTTTTTGGTGACCAACAATATATTCATACGAAAATTATCGCTTCACTGATTCAATATTGCATCCCACGTAGCTTATTGAGCAAAAAAATAAAAAATTTTGCGACAAAATTGTTTTTCACTCAAAACTAAAGGTAATATCTAATGACGTCAATAAATGGACGTAGATTCGAGTATAATTATAAATATAATTGCAATTCAAAGATATACTTATGTTCTCTCTTTCTCTCGATCTACCATAGCACAGAGATTTTTGAAATGATGCTGGATTATTAAAATAGCGTTGTTATTAATCTATATTAAAAAGATATTAAATATTTATAAAATTTTCTCATAATAAAATCTACAGTATGCATTTTAACGATATCCTCTTCACCTTTTTTTTGTTTGTCTCTTGTCATTTATTTTGATGATTTCATAGAGATAAAGAAAGAAAGCTTCACGCATTGATTTATATTTATTCATCAGTTATTTTTTTTTGTTTTCTCACTAATTCATGTCACCTGTAGAGCAGACCATTTGTTGATACGCTTTCGGTCGTTATTTTGTATCGTTACAAGGATTCTCTCCAATAGATAATATGCATCGGCGAAAGAACGAACAATAGATAACGAGTGAGTGAGTGACAAGCAGTTTTTCATCTCTAATTACGTAATTATTGATCATTTATTTTCAGATTTCGTTCGCTGTATTTCTGTCTCTTTTCTTCGTTACTTTCTATAATTCAATACTGCGCATATTGTATATTGACCTTGAAAAAGTCAAATACAAAATATATGTTTCTGATAGAAACAAGTACATTTTATTATCGTATAACGATATAATCAAGTGTCGACTCTGAGAATAAATGTAGTTGAATACAATTAATTAATGATAATCTTAGAATATACATATTACTGTTTGATACTTGTATCTCCGCCTTTGATAACAACCATAGAGATATAAAAGATGATAAGAATTATAGACGATCACTCACTCATAAATTGATTTTGAATCATTTTTGTTGCTTTACTGATAAACAATATTAGTCAGGTCTACAAGAATTCGTTTTTTAATTGTACCTATAAGACAAGATGAGAAAATTAAAGTTTCTTTCGCGTGATGCATCACAATTCAATGAAAATGTCAGATCAACAAAAACAATTTGAAAAAAGACCATTTGTATTTGAGATTAATTATTATCACGTAAAAAAATATTATGTATCATGATATGGTTCAACTGAATGACAAAGTTATACTCGTCATAGATTAGAAAGGGTACTAATAACATCACTTTTTAAACAATAATTAAACACTGAATATCAGAGAGCATTCTACCAACAATCTATTATTTCTTCTTCGATGAATTTTTTGTATTGATTATCTTATATATTGATAGTTCATACTTAATCTTCTCTCTGTTTCTCCTTTATCATACATTTAAACGTAATTTTTAATGTTCACGTTGACTTTTCTCCGTGGAATTTATATACTATAAGACAATGTATAGAAAATGATTAAAAATTAGATAAATAATAAAATACATGAACACCTTTTAATTCAGTTACGTTATCGATGTGAGTGGCTGGATACAAATGCAAATCTTCTTTAATTACCAAACACACATTCACACTTCCAGATGAAAATATTTCGGTTATTTTTGTATAAAAACCAAGTTAACAGAAACTTCTGATGAATTGATTCTAAAATAAAATGATGATATGTTCTGTGGGTAAGAGAATAACTTAAACATTCGTTATTTTTATTATTGAAAACATTTCTTTTTAATTATTCATCTTCTCTTATCGATTATTTGAATTCATTTCATAAGTTTTTAAACTATTGTCTTATACGTTTATATAGTTATCCAATAATTTTGAGATAATATCATTTGTGAATTATTTCAAACAAAACATATTTAGGAATTCTAATTGTTTAAATGTAGGTAAAAGACTATTTGTGTGAATACTAATAATATAGTTAAGCTACCTTTCGTGCCTAGTATTCTATTTATTAATCGATTTCTTGTTTTTAAAATAAATCAAACTTACTTATATGTCCCGGATCATTTGCTGTCATTACGATTACGATTTTTATAACAAATATTTCTTTTTTTTTATTGCATCAGATTTATTTTTATACGAGTCATGTGAATAAATACCCTTGACGAAGAGAAGAAAAACGAAATATCAATGATTTTGATTTTGTTGAAAAGAAAAAAGTTTCAATAAAAGATAAATAAATCTTAAGGGTATAGTTTTTATTAATGGAATTAAATGACTTGATGTTAAACTTATTTCATGATTTGATTAAGTTTTTAATTTACAATATAAGCCTTTAATAAAAAAAATTAAAAAGATTTTTTTATTAAAACTACTTATTTCGTTTATTGATTGAATTTCATATGATTTTTCATTAATTGATCATCTATTTGAAGATTTGATATGAATTAATTTGTACCATTAGATAATTTTACTGATATTTTTCAAAATTTGATTATATAATGTATCACAATTCATTTGTTTTAATTCAATAATAAATTTTTCGATCTCTTTATCATACAAAAAATTTAATCTTTTTCAATTAAGTTTTTCATGTTATTTCTGATGCACAAGTATAAATAAATCAAACTAAATCGATTAACATAATCAGATAATTCTGATCTGAAATCAACGAGATATCTCAATCTTTTAAATCGAAGGAGTTTCTGCATAAACCTCAGTTTGAGAAAACTTTAGAAAATGAGGAAAAATAATTGTAGTTTCTATCGTGTCTCCGACACTTTTGTTACCGAAGTTTACAAACAAAGTAGGGTCCTGTCATTTTTTTTGTTTAAGAATACATTCCAAATATTGCGGTTGCACTCAGAGAAGAAAGAAGCAACGGAATAATCACAGCGTACATAATACATGTCGTCACATATCAACTACGTAGTTCAGAATCTTTGCTTTCTTCTTGACCTAATAAAAAATATACGTCATTCGAATTTCGAAGGAGAAATGAGTATACTGATCTAATTTTCACGAAGAAATATTCGCACGTCTTCAGCAATAAATCTTAAGAAAGACGTTTCTTAGATGAAATAGTAGGAATATCAATCATTCTCTCTGTTATTCTTTGTGCGTATGCAACAACAAATAGAGATGAATATCTATCTGTGACGTCGGGCACGACGTTTATTTGGCTATATCACTACTGCAAGTTTATATTCTCAAGTCTAACATGCGTATTATACAGATACAGGCAGAGGTTAAGCGGGCATACATAAGACAAAAATGCTAAATGAAAAGATCACGATATATAGACGATATAACATAAAACAGGTGAAGCATAACGATCGATGACCGATCGTTACATGCTTATATAAATACACAGAACAATCGAAAATATCGTTCTCAGAAAGAAGAATAGAGAGAATGATGTATTATTTTATTAAGTCAACGATCAAGAAAAAACTTGGAATCAGTTGACATGGATACATGCAGTACATTTAATATTGATTAGCTTGGTTCATTATACTTGATTTGCATGATGTGCGTGCGCATGACCTCTGACCGTTAAAAGAAGAAAGAAAATGGTTGATGGGGTGCCTCCTGAAGTGCTCGAACAGCTCTTCCTTGAAATCGATAATCCATATGATGTGTTCAATTTACGTGCTGTATGTAAACAATGGCATACTGTAATAACAAATGAACGTTTTCTCAATATCTACTTTAAAAACCGTTTTGGCATCAAATCAAGACAACAACTTGAATGGGTCAAATATTGTAATAGGTAAGCTGACTGATTAATAATTTATTTTGTTTGAGAATGTTAGACATATTGGATACATGTTTCCTTTTTAGGTCGGATTGTTGAGATATAAAAATATTTTTGATAGCAAAGATTTGTATAATTTACAATTTAATTTAGATATTATTCATATTTAACACTTCCAGATTGTAATCGTCGTTATCAAGTTCCTACACGCTTACAAGGAACTGGTAGTGTTGTATTAAACAATATGCATCGTACTTATACAGCTTCTTTTCCTCGATTTCCTTTTCCTTTCTACAATCATGATTATTCAATTGGCATGTGGCTTCAACTTACATCAGGCTTCGAACAATTGTCATTTGAAATAAGATTTAATGATTTTTCACTTGAATTTTGTCTCAGTGAAAAATCGTTACGAGTTCAATGTTCGCATATGGGTGGTCTTGAAGCCGAAACACATATCAAAGTACCTTTTCATCGTTGGTTTCATATTGTACTAACATATTCGTCAGTGTTTGTATTCTACATCAATGGATATGCTTATCCATTAATCTGCAATGCAGGACCACTGTGTAAACAAGAGATGATTAAACGTACAACAGATATAGATAAAAATAAATATTTAATTTTGTCTCACGACGGTTATCCCAAGTTTGGAATAATAAGCAGATTTGCTGATATTCAAGTTTTACCATGTGCTTTAACTCGATGCGAAATTAAAGCTATCGTTGAACAAAAGACTTGTATTGGACAACTGGATATGAGTCGATATTTACTCGAACATTGGACTAGTATGCATTGGTATTCAAAATATTTACCCAACTGCATTCTTTTCTAAAAACTGACTACTTGCTTTTAAAGCTCATTGTTATTTTTCATTTTTTCTTTTATGTATAACTATACCTTTTTTTATTCATTTATTTTATCTTCGAATGTGCATAGAACCCTGTGCTCAAGTGCATATATATTTATAATGTGTTCTATTTTAAGAATACCTTTCAATAGACATCTGTTCGTCAACAGAATCTTCTAAAACTTCCAGTTGCGAGACGTCTTTTGTTTCCTTATAGAGCTTTAATATCTCAAAAATGAAACATTTGGTTAAGCTAAAGCTTCTAGAGAGTTTGAATCCAGTGTAATGAGTTCATTGTGTTATCATCGTATACTTCTTTTTTTAATGAATGCACAGTTATTAAGTGATAGAATTAACAACAGTAAATCAGTGTTTAGTAGACATTTTTGTAATCACATCGTATAGAGAACAATAAATTAAAGTGCAGTTCAACCAATATATACTTCATTTAGATATCATAAATCAGCCGATCCAAGAAAAAACTCTGCCTGCAAATCATCCTTCGTTGGCTACTTCCTACAACAACCTCGGTAGTCTGTATTATCACACGAAAGAATATTCGAAAGCACTCTCATATTCTAAACGTGCTTTGAACATTTTGAAAGCTTCATTTCCATCAAATCATCCTCATATTAAAAGTGTGAAACAGAGTATTAAAATTGTTAAAAAAAAGTTATAATTTTTTTTTCTGAATAAATACATGTTTTCTTTACGCAAGAGAGAAATAATTGTATTTTTTTGCTTACTCAGGCGCGCGTACAGAAACATCTCTGCAAGTAATAAAAACGCAATGGACATAGCCGACCGATAAGAAAGTACACATACATAATATCTACATGTGTAAAAGGTCTATACGGACATGTTTACATTTCTAACATTAAATACGAGAATATTCTCTATAAATTGAAAAAAATAAATGTAACATCAGAGGACATCGGCTACCATTGTAATAAACATATTGAAAATGAATCTAAAAAAGAAAACAAATTGAAAAAAATAAGAAAAGAATAACTTACCTTGTTTAACTTGTATTTATGATTGTATTGTATTGTGTTGGACAAAGCCTTGAATGATGAAGAATAATATGAAGAAGAGTAGTATATATAGATAGATGTATGTCCTGTATATTTTCTGATTGAATTCATCAATTAGTATATTGATGGTTGACTATAAGCATGTTAAGGCTTTCCCCTCCCACCATGTACTTACCAATATGTACAGATAATAGACAATATAAAATGAGATGCACAGAAATAAACAAATACACTTTAAATTTAATGACATCAATTCTATATATATGTAGATAAAATCAGTTATTGTATTTTTTTTCATTTCTCTCTCTTCGTCCGTCATTAACTATTTAAAAATATACGTTAGAGAAAAGAACACATGTCTGTTACATATGCTCAAAATAAATTTATCTATTTTACTTATTTAGATATAGATTTCTAACATTTGTCTTCTAATATTAGTCTCGTTTTTATTAATATATAAATTGCATATATTATTCTCTAGATTTATTAAATCAATGAATCCATTTGAAAAATTTATTGTTGAAACAACTGAAAATGAAATGACAAGATCAAAAAGTTTTGGTAAGTTGTTTTTTTTACGGTAGATTAAAGTAACTTTTATTTATTTTATAAAGATCTTTCCAATTCCGAATCTTCATTATTTCAACAAAATACACAACTTTCAAGTATATCAAATGCTATTGGATATGATCCTTCACGTATGGCTACTTTTTTAGGACATCATCATACATTAAATAATAAATCTGTACAAAAATTAGATACGATTCATGAAAATTTGCCAACATCCAAACAGAATGTAATAATATAAAACAAAGATTTTTTTATTTATAAAGAAATGTTTTGTTTTTAGTTTTCACCGCAGATATCATCGAGTTTTTGCTGGGTATATTAATTCATTTAATTCTATGACTACTTATGAATTTATTTTTGTTTTTTAGAATCAAAACAAAGAACAACCATTATCAGATAATAAAATTGTATCAGTTCGTGGTTCTGTTAGTTCATGGAGTAAGTTTATTATGCATAAATTTTACGATTAATTTATTTTAATATTTGAATTTTTAGATTTATAACTTACTTTTCGTTTTTGTCTATCTTTTGTTTACTGTTATATGAACTAATTTCATTTATATATCTAATAAAAACATGAAATAAATATTTCTTCAATCTCCTCATTGATTTTTTATTCATAATCTAGTGTCATCTATTGACAAACATTCTTTCCTATGTTCTTATATTGATTGAAAATAAAAATAAAACAATTAACGTGGAAGAATTCTAAATGATATTTGAATCTATTCAGTTATGTATATATATGTTACTTAAAGAAAAGCCGGAGACTTAGTCAATTTTACTATGGCAAGACGTGGCTATATTGATGGGATTTTTTTGCATGTTCTCTCGTCTTCAGTTTCGTTTCTCCTGTTTTTCTACAATGATAATCAGTCAGAAATCATCTGTTGAATATCTTCTTTTTTTTTAAGATTTTATTTTCTAATATAAAAAGAGAGGAAAATGTCTAATCAACGATCAATACCCCGTGACGATGATTTACTTCTTCAAGATTTCAGTCGAAATGTAACAAATAAAGCTTGGGCTTTATTTTTTGGTAATGCAGCTATCGTCTCGGCTATTCCACTCTGTAAGTTATTATAATAAAAATAGATAGAAGTTTTTTATGATATTTATATTAGGGCTTTTTTGGCGTATTCATCAAATGGAGATTACATCTTATTTTATTCATTTTATCATTGGTACTGCAATAAGTACATATTTTCTCAATTCCGCTTATCAAAATATGAAATTTATCTTAAAACATAAGTAAATATTAATTAAGAAATTAAATAGATAATTATTATTTCTATTAGAATTGCACAAAAACGTGAAGAAGCTATCAATCGTGAAATAACAAAATTATTTGCTAATGACAAAAATGCAAATAAAAAAGATAAAGATGACCGGTAAGGATTACTATTCAATTAAATCTATTAGTTTCTTATTTATTATAATAGAATATTGGCACGTAAAAATGAAGTCGCAGATTTTGAAGCAACAACATTTTCAATTTTTTACAATAATGCATTCTATCTTGTTTGTCTTATTGTATTATCATTTTTTGTTTTTAAAAATTTTTCACCAACTGTTAATTATCTTTTCTCAGTTGGTTTATCGACAGCTATGGTTTTTCTTTTTTCAACAGGAGAAAAATAAATCGAAATATATAGTTTACAGTTTAAAGACTTTTATTCTATTTGTTGTTATTTATTGTTCGTTTTTTCTTTTGCTTTGTTCAAAATCAATGTTACTCTGCAATGATATATCTAAACTTGTTTGATTATTTAGTAGTGTTTTATTGTTTTTATTCTATATTTATTTTATCATGATTAAATAACAATCGGTGACAAGAATACAAATAAAACATTCATATGCATGATATTGATATAGACTATTTAATTTGCAGTTAATCGATAGGATTGAGCTACATAATAGGAAAAATCAATACGCTATTGTCTTTTTTAGACTTGTCTTATTTAATCATAAAAACTGAGAATTTTCAGACCTGAGTTAAATAGAAAGACCAAGTAGGTATTTGTTTATTAGATTTTCATCCCTTTTGATTCTGGAAGAAAAAATGTGGTTCGATAGAGAATAATGTTCGCTATTCTTTCGCTCGTTTGTCTCTTTTTTTTCACCTGAAGATTCATACCATCTGTTAAAAAAAATTTATCGATTATACTATCATATATATCTTTCAAATAAACCACTTATCCGTCAAATAAGAATAATAAAATAAAACAATTGAAAGAAAAGGAGAAGAGAATTTTTCACCGAGTTTCGACTAATCACATTGACTATACTTAACATTATCCGATTCTTTGTTGATATCAATACAACAATAGCAACGATCCAACATCTATCTTTATTCTATCAAGAATATATTAAACATTCACCTGTTTTGGTGGTATATACTTATCCTGATTTCATCGTCAAATCAAATCTAATCACCAAAATGAGGGTACAATCACAGATAACTTTGTTATTTATTCTCTTGACAAGTAGAAAAATTAGCCGACAACCGTAATTTGATAATAATTAAGTTGCAATTAATCAGAAATTTTATTGAGATGTGACAATATTCACCTGGAATATACTTTATTTACAGATTGATGGTGTATTAACGAATTTGTACAAGTATGAAGAGTGTCTCGCTTTATAACTCATACATCTGCCATATGAATATTTGGAGATTGTCGAAACTTGCTGGAATAATAATTACTTTGTTTATTTGTGCATAAGTAATAAAACTATCTGACAAGATCGATGATTGACCTCATGCATGTAGTTTAGAATTTTAAATAATTTCAAAAACTGTAACATTCATTGATTTTATTAAATGATCATATGATTAATTCTTATTTCGTACGTTTTAAGTACACTCAATCTCGTATTGGTATATTTTATACTGAATGATACTAATTCATTTAAAAGAATAAGATAATATTTGCTTAACTAGTTGACACCTTAAATGTTTGATGCTGGTATATATACTCAATGATATAATTATGTTAAGTTATTGTTCTTTTCTCAATATTTGTTCAGTATTCTATTATACTTCGTATATAAAACATCGAAAATAAAAGAATATACAATAGCATATTACAATAGAATAAAATTCAATATGAAATCAGCAATCAAAATGTTATCTATCATCCTAATCCTATTAGCATTGTCATTTAGTGGTAAATTGAAATTTTGATTAGGAAATAGTTCAATATATTGAAAATTTTTGTTTTAAGTGACTAATGCTGCTTTATCATGTTATTCATGTACTGATTGTGGAACTTCATGGGATATATCTAAAACTACTGTAGTTGCAACATCCGGTTCCAGTGATTATTGTCGTGTAAGTATAAATTCTTTTGTAAATCCATAAAATAATTTTCTTTTTCAAATAATATAGAAAACAGTAACAGGAAATACTGTTACTAAAGATTATGCGTCCAGTTGTACACCAGCTAATATACTTGGCAATGGAATTTTTTGCTGCCAAACAGATTTATGTAATTCAGGAAGTAAACAATCAATAACAATGATGAATCTTGGATTTTTAACCGCTTCAATATGGGCAATTTATCATTATATGTATTAAACTTCAAAATATACTAATATAAACATAAATTATCTTGAATATATTTAATAAAATAAATAAGAATAAAACATTTATCAAAATAATTATTTTCATTAGAAATAGAAAACGGAAAAAAATACCATTTAAAATCGCATTCATCTGATTCTGATAGATCATACATCCATTCTCACGTATCTTCAGATTTTTAACGACGTAGAATACTAATTAAGAAATATATTCTCGATTGTTTGAAAAACATTTCATCCATTAGTCAGTATTGAAAGAAAAAAGTCTTGGTAATATATTATTAATGGAAAACGTTTATTTCAATTTTTAAAAGTAATTTTCTTATTGTTCAAAAACAATAGATCTCGATATTCTAATAAACGGAGTGCTAATAGCCA